GCCAGTCACAGAAGTGCCCTCTGCTCAGGCTGCTCTTCCCATCATTCAGGTCCCAGCTCAGACGTCAGCAACTCCTAGAGGTCTTCCCTGACCTCTCTATCTAAACAATCTGGGCAGGGGAGCTACTTTATCTCACTACCCTATTTTTCCTTCATGATTTTATTTCTTTATTTATTTACAACTTTACTGTCTTAGAACAGGAGTCAGCCAACTATGACCCACAGACCAGCCATCTATTTTTATAAATAAAATTTTACAGGAACACAGACACACCCATTCATTTGCCTACTGTCTGTGGCTGCTTTCTCACTACAAGAGCGGAGTGGAGCAGCTGCAGCACAGACCACATGGCTCACACAGCCTAAAATATTTACTCTCTGGCCCTTGACAGAAAAAGTGTGCTGACCCCTGTCCTAGAAGAATATAGGCTCCAAGAGAGCAGGAACCTTGTCTGTGTTGTTCCCTGTTGTATTCCTAGCACTTAGAAAAGTGCATATAATAGATGCTTAATAAAAATGTGTCGAATGAAAGAATAAAAAATAGTTAACCCTAAAACAACCTTGGAAGTTATCTCCATTTTACAGGAAATGGAGCTCAAGGAAACAGAAGCTCACAGAGCTGTGAAGAACTTGCTGGAAGTCTCAGTAGGTGTCAGCAAGGAAATATGAGTTGGTTCCAAACATGCCTGGTTCCAAATACGCCTGCTCCTAAAAATATTATCTTGATTCATTAAGTGCTTACCACATATCGGGTACTGTACCAAACTTGCACATATATGATCTCATGCGATCTTTATAAGAAGGGTGGTCATCATGGTCTTATGGATGGGAAAACAGAAGCTGAGCAATATAGAATAGTTGCAAACGGAACATAGTAGACTTCAAAGTCTACCGTGCTAACCACCATGCAACAGTGCTGAGGGCGTAGCACCTGACGTGTGCTGAGAAGAATCTAAAAATGGCCAGTGTTAAAATGAGAACATCCTCACATTAGCTGTAATTGGGAAAATGGACATCATAGAAGATGGTGTTGTTTTGTTTTGTTTTGTTTTCATTTATGCAGCAAATATTTATACGCCAAATGCTGTTTAATGCACTGGGAATTTAGGATGAACAAGAAAGGCAAGGTCCCTGCTCTTATGGAGCTTACATTCTAGTAGAAGGAGACACACACACAATAAATAAGAGGTAAGGGATAAGTGGCATGCGAAGAATTAAAACAGATTGATGTGGTGATGGGTGCCTGAGAGATACTTTAGACTGGAGAGTTGGAGAAAGACTCTCAGAGGATGCGCATAGAGTTGAGATGCAAGGGAGTAGCAGAATGCTCATAGTTGATGGAACAAGAAATAATGGGGCTGGGGAAAGAGTGGGTATAAGTCAGCAAAAGCCCCATCCATCCCAGTGGCAAGATCAGAGCTAACTTCTGAAAGTAATAAATCACACTGTATTAAAGAGATACCAGAAGAAACAGCTAGAATAGTTCAGAGTGGCTGATCAGAGGGACAGAACAAGCATGGGGTCAGGAGGAAGGAACGAGCAGTGAGGCAGGAGGCAGCTCCTTTTTTATTGTTTTCAATAAGCCCTTTTGATTTTTTTAACCACGTATGCAAAGTACCTGAAAAAAAATTAAGGAAATTTATTCTTTAAATCCCATTCACGATTTCAAAAAATTCATAAAATTACTAAAAATAAGCTTACTGAGAAATGTGCACGAACTACAAAAATAAAGCTGAAGGACATAGTGGGAGATCTTAATAAATGGTGAGATGCAGTACATTCTTGTTCCAGGTTCTTGCATGGGAAAACATATTATTCTAAAAGAAATGTTACTTTTGCCCAAATTCATGTATAAATTCAGTGTAATACTGGCAGCATTTTTCATGGAATTCAAAAGATGTTTTAAAAATTCAAATAGAAGAGTAAATATACTAGAATAGCAAAGATAATTTTGAAAAAGAAAGAATGAAGAACTTGCCCACCAATATCCACTGACTCATTCAACAAGTGGTCACTGGGCTCATGCCCCAACAGTGGGCGTCCCAGGCACTTTCTAGGTGCTGGAGCCAGCAGCGAATAACACAGACAGAGGCCTGATTAAAGGAGCTATGTTCTAGTGAAGGGAGCAGGACAAACACATAAACGATCCACAGAAGATGTATGATGCCAGGAGGTAATAAGAGCTTTGGAGAAAAATCAAGAAAGGGGAGAGCGACAGAGTGTGAGGTACAGTGCTATTTTATGTAAGGCGGTCAGGAAAGAACTCTGAAGGAGGTAAAGATGTTAACTACGCAATCAAACATTTTAGAAAGCTACCAAAATTTAGAGTGTGATATTGGATAATGATAGACAAAGCAATATAAAGAGCAGAGAAAAGTTCAGAAACAAGCCTATGCACATGTGATGATCTGTTACATCAAATACACGGCCTTTAAATCAAGGACTATCTATGTAATAAATGATGACGGCTATCCATTTGTTTAAAAAAAATTATATTGGGCTCTTCTCCCTACAATTCACAAATAAATTCCAGATGGATTAAAGACTTAAACATTAATAAAAATCCTAAACATCGTTCAGTTTGGGGGAAAAAATGTTCCTAAGCTTGAGAAAGGGGAAGGTCTTTTTAAATAAAACATAAAAGCCATGGAAAAAAAAGTGAAATATTTGATGGTACCAAAATTTAAAATTTCTATTCATGAAACATACCATAAGCAAAATTAAAATACACACAACAGCACAGAAGAAAATATTTGTGACATAGATAACACACAATGGGTTACTAACCAAAATACATAATAAATTCATATAAATCCATCAGGATAAGACAACACAATAGGAAAATGAGGAAAGAGTGGGAACAGGTAACCTCAGAGAAGAGAAAATACAAATAGCCAATAAACATAAGAAGATGTGAAACCTTCTTAATTATCAAGGAAATACAAATCATGTCTATTAGCTTAAAAAAAACATTTAAAAATCAATAATATCAAATATTATTATATTATTTATAACTGCTATAAAAATTGAAGTACAGTTTGGCTAGCAATAGGGTAGCATCCGTTAAAATTTAAAATGCAATTCCACTTCTAAATATCTGCCTAAACAAATGACAGCACACGTGCACCCCAAGAGGCACGTAAAAGATCCCGCCCCCCCATCTGTAAGTAAAGCCAGCCCTCACCTGCTCAGTTCACTGTAAAAGGGAAGAGCTGAAAACAAAGTTATGCCCATCAAGTGTAGTCTAGTTAAATAAACTATGCTACCCCCAAACCAGATATTCAATATATATTGTTACTGCCTGAAAATTAGTATTGTCATTTTTGGTGGTTGGGTAAGAGAAGAGAACAAGTTCAAAAAGTTATCTGAATTCCATTTTTAATCTCTACTGTAACCTAAACAAAATTATGACAGGACCATCTTGGCAGAAGGCAGTATATTAAACAGAAGAATTTCTCTACACAACCTCCCTTGGAAGCATGTCAATCAATAACTCATGATCAACCAATGAGTGACAAATAGTTTTAGCTGTCCATGATATTACAATTAATCTGGTATCTTCTCTGACAAAACATTCATGGAAACCAACTTCTAAAATAGTGTGCTTATAGCTGAAAACTGAATTATTCTCATCCATCAAAAATAAATTTATGTGAGTTTGCTTATATCTATAAGCTCCAATTATAACCTTAGCTCAAAAAAGCTGAAAAAAAATAGTTCAATTATTGACTTTATCTATCACTCCTGAGTTTAAAAAACAAAAACAAAATTAAAAAAAAATAGTGGGGTGATAAAGTCAACTGCTGATGGTTCTCACGTGGGCTTACCCAGACACACACTATCATCCTTGGGACTGGTGGTTTGCTGGTATCATGCAGATTCTCTGCCTATTTCCATTATTTATCACACTTTCCCTCTCTCATTTGATAACAGAAAATTCTAGAAAGGCTCAAGAAAAGATTTTTACCTCCAGGCATTCTGAGCAGCAATACTTACCTTAATAGATAAAGTGAGTGTATACCATTTTTTTGCTGTAACATCAGCATGTCCTAAAGCATATATGATCCATCCAGCTGTAACACAAAAAGATTACCCTAATTGATATTTTTTTAAAACCTATATCACACAATCACATATCTCAGTGGGGGTTCTCAGCTGGCATTTGTGTGCAGTACAGTGAGCCTTAATAAAGATCTACATTTCCAGATCTACAATTGATTTGAAACAAAACATCCTTCATTCAGACACACATTCCACAAGCTTGTATTGAGACCCTGCTCTGAGTCATATACTATATGTGAGCTCATAAGAGAAGCAGTGAAATCAACTTACAAACCAACCAGAGTGTATAATGCGTTAGCATCTATAGTTCAGGTATACATTTATACCTGATTGGACTGAATATGGAGGATAAGAAGGAGTAATCAAAGGCAACCACAAGATTTCCAGCTAGCGTCACTGGTTACACGGTAATAGCATTCACTGAGAATTAGAGAAAATAATGAGTTCAGTTTTGAATGTCTTATATTTGAATGCCTGAGAAAAACTCTGGATGAGATGTCGAGTGGGCAGTTTAAAACACAGAGCAGTGGGGACGGAAGATACAGATTTAAATTCCTAGTTCCAGTTCTGTCGCTAACTCATTTTGAGACCGTGGACAAATCCATTAACCTCTGACTCTCTGTTTTGGATTGGAAAATCAGGGAGGTACCTTCTAGATCGGTCATGCTATTATTATGCAATTGCTACTCTAATGGCCTCACTACCCACTCCCTCTTTAACTTTTATTTTATTTATGGAGCCCTCTTCACCTTAGAAAAAGGCAAAGAGCAGCAAACTGTAGGAGAGATTTTTATTAATGCAGGAAGGAAGTCAAGAGACCAAGAATCAAGAAGAGTCACCACCAATAAGGTCTAGTTTCAACAGAGCGGTGTGTGCCAAAACCAAAGCGAACTGGATGGAATTCAACTTGAACATCTTCTAAGCACCTATTCTGGATAAAATACTATTCTACATAAGACGAGGGCTGTTAAGATGAATGAGAAAAATCAAGCAGTTTTCAAGTTATTAACTAAATTAGGAAATAAAATTTCTCCATGTTAAGCAGATCAGTCCCTCTCTCTATATTTCCATAATCACAGTACCAACACTCTTATAGTCTTGCTTTTATTTATAGTATTTCCTGAGCATTGTCTCCCTACTCTCTCTCTCCTTCTCACCTCACCCCAGCCTCTGCAAATCCTACCCTGACAGCCTAGCTCAACTCTACAATACTCAAAAAATCTTTGTACAATTTTCTGTTTTACTGAGCTGCCTCTCTCTGTACTAATTAAGTAACTCTATAATTTTGAATTGTTTGGTCTTTGCTTATGTGTGTTGAATCTCTTCCCAATTAGACATCCAAGCGCCTTGAAGTAAAGCTCTTTCATTACCCCCATAAAGTAACAAGCAGATGCTCACTGTAACATATTCCATAGTAAGTCATGTGCTGCAGAAGAAGTCACTTACCTAGATCACCTGTAACTCTGTAGGTTCCATTTGCAAAAATCCAGAAGAAAACTCCTCTGGCACTTCTAATCAAGATACCACCTTTATTCACTCTCCCCGCAATGAACACGCCTCCTGTCTCAGGGGTCTCTATGTAAACATCACACTTTATAGTCACATTGGACCTGCAGAATGAAACTGTTGGTTAGTGCTTTTAATTATGCCATTCCGAACGTAGCACAAACATGTCATTTCACAGCCACATGCTTCCAAACTTCTAATTGAAGTGAGTATGTGATTTCCCAAGTCTGTGCTTGCAGCAGGAACGGGCTTCAAGAATCTTCATTGACAACAGTTTTAAATTTAATGTGACTAAAGTCAAGTCATTTCATTGCCTCTTTTAATGAGTTACTGGAAAATAATATTTACTGTTTTTAAGTTTCTTAAGAACTTATTTCTTGTCTCTCTATAATAAAACAACTTCTCATCCTAAGAATATAATATTAAAAGGAGCCATTTTTTTCTAGGAGTACATAAAAGGTAAGTTTCCACGCAATTCTAATCAAAAAGGTTTATGAAATTTCCATCAGTAAAGAGAAGCAGTGAAGGCTATTAGGAGCCTCTGGGAGAAAATAAGCTACTCTGGGGCTAATTTTTACATTTAATACTAACAAGACTTAAAAACTCCAGAAGAAAGATCTAAAATTATTTCTCTGCAAAGACAGTCAACATTATGTTGACTCTACCACAGGGGTTTTCAAGTTTGAGCAGCACCGAAATTGCCTGGGGGGCTCGTTAAATGTTTAACCCCCATGGTGTCTGATTCAGTAGGTCTAGGATGGGTCCTTGAATCTGCATGTCTAAGAAATTCCCAAGTGATGCAGATGCTGCTGGTCCTGGAATTCCACTTTGAGAAACATTTTCCCCTACGGAGCATCTCTGTCTATATAGAGGCAGTAAAACTCTGGTTCTGGGATCGCTGATTGACAGGAGTATATCAAAGGAGGGGAAAGATTCAGCCAACCAGGAACTACCAGAGCTTTAACAACGAGCCCTCCTCCAGGCTTCCTTTTACAAATGCTACTCGATACCTTCTGCAATGATGCAACCACCCCAAACCAACATGATCTCTGAAAATAATTCACCTCCTACTCCAAATCTAACTGCAAATGGGAAAGAAAGAAAGCCTGCACAGAGCCAAGTAGTAAATCAAGCAATTTGTCTAAAACAAAACTCAAAAAATGCCAAGAAATATATTTTGGAAATAGGGGGAAATTGCATCTAGAATTATGTGGCTTTTAGTGACGTCAGCATCATGGCGGAGTTAGCTTTCCCATAAACTCTTCCTCCATAAGATACAACCAAAGGGACAGTCACAGACCAACAACGGACTCCGAGACAGCAAAAAGGAAGATCGGAAAGATCCACACTGCCGCACATCTGAGAGTGGACGTGCTGGGGCACCCGGAGGAAGTGGGGAGAGGTAAGAAGAAATCCTCTCCCTCCCCATCAGATCAGCGATCCAGGTCAGCGCGGCTCCTAGAGAGGGGGGAGGGGCAGCCCTCTGCGGGGAAAACGTAGCTCTTTGGGCTCTCTCAGCCAGTGGGAAACTCCCACACAGAGGACTCAGAACTGCTGCAGGGGTGCCATCAACATCTGAGCACCCCAGGAGAGTGGATAATGAGGGACGAGCGAGAAGCCCCCGACGCCAGGGACCCAGAGGGCAAAAGAGAGAGCCCTCCCCCTCCCTGCATGCCCAACACTGCAGCTCAGCTGACCAGACCAGACAGAGTAGCCAGCCGATTGCAGCGAGCAGCTGGGGCAGAGTGCAGGGGGCTCAGATTACACAGCCCTTAACCCCCACACAGTGGCGGCAGATGGAACTGCAATCAGATATTTCCAGGATGAGGAAAAACAAAGCGAATACAGAAACCACAATGCAAAAGTACATGAAATCACCAGACCAGAAGGAAAATGACAAGTACCCAGAAACCAACCCTGAAGGCACAGAAATCCATAACCTAAACAACAGAGATTTCAAAATAGCTATCATAAAAA